CTGATATAGAAAGAAGTACATTCTAAGAGTGGAAGAACTCTTTGAGATATGAAGCCTCAGCGTGTCAGATGATCACACCAGCAGCTCCCGGAACAGAATCAGTTCAGAGAACCGCACATAAAAGTCAGCTTTTTATAGCAAATAAAGCACCAAATATTACACAACCGAACAGCCGGAACCCAAATTATGTTCTGTTTGATCCTGAAAATCAAACTGCTCTCTAGAGCTCACTGATCAAAATCCTGTTTGCACTAAAGGCACCGTTCCCCTCTTCCAGGCTTTACGCTACGTTTGGCTAATACCCTTCTGCACAATGCTGGAAATAACTAGGCTTAAAGGAACGGGCTGCAACTAGCAATTATTCTAATGATCCATTAATCAGCTTATCAGCTACTCTATAAAAGTAGACCTGAGAGGCATGAAAGGGGCCAATGAAGCTCCCTCCGATAAGTCGCAGCAGGACTCGACCTTCACCGGCTCCTGAGGTCAGAGCCCACAGCCAACGTGCTGAGGCCTCCATAGTCACCGGACGTGGCCCCATCACCTGATTCATATTTAGTATTTTAAATCTACTACGTTTGCTCCCCCACCAAATGGTTACTGTTAATCTGTCAATGGAGTTAATGATCAGAGCTTCTTTCATTACCTGGAGACCATTGAACGTCCAGGTCCAGGCTGAAAGTTCTGTCCTCCAGGTTGTACTTTGTGTCCCTGTGTTTGTCCTCCTTAGGTCTCCCCAGTCTCTGCTCTGCGTCGTTCCGGACGTCTCCGTCTTCAGTGAGGGCTGGCGCCGTTTGAGGCACATCACGACCGTCCCCCTGTCGCTCCTCCGATTGGACGGCCTCATCTATCGCACCGCCTTCAGCTTCACCTACACGCCGGAGCTCCGGCCGCTCCTGTGTGCCCGAGGAGCAGCAGGAGGATGGAGGCGGGAGGGGGCGGAGGAAGGCCAGCCGGACGACGTCCTGCTGGAGACCATCCATCAGGAGTTCACCAGAGCCAACTTCCACCTCTTCATGCAGAGCTAGCTCACCTGTCCTCAGGTGGACGCTTGGATCCAGGCTGTGCTCTGACCTCGTCTTCACCATGCTTCAGGCACATGCTCGGGACGATGTCAGAGTTAACCAGATGATTATGTCATGCAGAGTAAACGTGGTCAAAGCTAAAGGCAGATCGTCAGATGGAGAAAAGGTGAAGTATCAGAATCTTATGTCGCTGTGAAGCCGGTAGAAACAATGAGGCTGATCGGCACTATGCTCGTGATATTTGCACGAGATCATTCTGAACCGAGAAGTTTTGTTCTAAAAGGATGTCTTATAATTTACATTATTGTTCCAAATGATCTGGGATTGATGCTAAACAAAGTCAATAATCACTGTGTGAGCTTTATGGCATCTCATGAATCAATAAATTGGCTGCATGTGATTTAGGTTCCTCGTTTGTCATGTTGATGTGACGTTAAATATTTCATTTAAATAAAAGCTTTTTGAAGTGAGACTGACTCGAGGAGATCAAAGCAGAGCATCCAGATGTGAATCGGCACATCTGTCGTAAAACTTGAGCTGTGTGACTTTCTTCATCAGCTGAGTGGGAGTCTTGTCTCTGGGAAGCTGCTTCTGAAGAACCATTGGTACTGGTAGAGATAGTATTGGTAGTAGTGCTGGTATTGGTCGTAGTACTGCTGGTATTGATTGTAGTGTACGAGTGAAATTGTGTCATCTTGTATACACATATTTGGTATTTTATGTTAAGAGGGATACAAATTCTGAACACTAGTCGGCGCTGTTCGGTGTCTGGAGGTGAGAGGGAGACAGAAGAAGAGGTGGTTTCTGTGAGAACGGGACTAAGTTCAGGGAAAATCCACAACGTGATGGACTGAATTATTTCCTGGTCTTACACCCACTTTGCTTACAGTACTACTGATTGTAGTGGCTCTAGTGGTAGTGATGTTATCGCTAGTATTGGTAGTGTTGGTCATAGTACTGCTGGTATCGATAGTAGTACTGGTAGCAGGGACTCTAATGCTAGTGCTCCTAGTGGTAGTATCATGTAGTTATCTAGGCTCTCTACTTCAGGTGTGTTATGTAAATAATAGAACATGACGAACAAACATGTCTGTGTACTAAGGGGAGCTCAGTGAACTGGAGCAATACCCCGTGTTTAGGATAAGGCTGCTTCACGAGGTCCAACATGTTTCAGAGCCTCAGCCAGGTTACTGAGGGTCTACTCAGCTCTGCTTTGTCTCATTGTGATCCTATACTGCACCCTTCTCACGTGCCTCCCGTTGGGTCTCTTTGTCCCTCAAAGCCCTCGTCCTCCTTATGGTAATCTAACCCTGAGACAGTCTAGCGGCGAAGCCAAACCACCCGCTCCACGCCCAGGTTCATACGTTGATCCCTGGAAGTCGAGTCAGCTCCTCTGTTCCAAAGCAGTGAAGCAGGAGGTAATCACACCAGCATGACTGGACCTCCCACGAGACCAACCCCCATCGGCCAGAACACCGCTGACCAGAAATATTCCTACAGCTGTAGGTAGATGTGAAGCTAATGACCTGAAGTTAACTCGCCACTTTACTGTTTGAGTGTGTGAGAAGTAGTGATTTTCTCTCAGACCAGAGGAGTCGCCCCCTGGTGGTCACTACAGAGAATGCAGCTTTAACACATGAAGCTCTGGCTTCACAATCTCCTGGTCTTGATCTTTTTCACAGACAAAGTAAAGATAGTAGATAACAGAGGCAGGTGACTGCATTTCCAATTTGGCAACTGGTTAGTGGTGTGTTGCTTTACCGACAGGTGAATGGGTGAACAAAGATGCCAGGGGGACCATGAAAAGAAGCACAGTGTGAGCTCACCTGAGGGATGGGGCAGCGTGGAGTCCAGAAGGTTCCTAGGCAACGCATGGAACCAACGTAAAAAAATGAACGACTGGCACTAAAACAAAGCAGAACATTCAGGATGTTTTTGTGGTTTCAGCCTTCAGATGTTTGAAGGATAAAAACCGGTCAGCGAGCTGTAGATAGTTTGAATCACTTTCTGCTGCCCTCCAGCATCTGGCTTTCATTTCCTTCACATCCCGGATTAGCGTGTCAGTCCTGATGCTATGCCATGATAAATACTTCTACTACTTCTGGATTAGCTAGTCTAGAACCAAGGACTGGAGGGAAGGATTATCACCAGCATCAAAAGGCATTGAGATGAGAAGTCCAACAAACAAACAACAAGGTCCAGGAGCTGAACACGAGTACCGAGACCAGAAGGAGGACATTGATGAAAACATTTGTGTGTCAACCATGAAAAAAGAAGCTAACCTTCCATTGGTATTGGTTCTGTTACCAGGTTACAAGGTAAGACCAGGACAATAGTTGACTATATGGGTATATAGTCAACGTTACTGCCGGTACATCTTCCTCTCGTCTGGAGCCAGCAGTGTGTTCTAGACAAAGCTCTCCTAAATGGGCTGATCCAGCTCTTCTCTGGAACTCGGAGGCTGTCTAAGGGTCTCTGCAGGGTCCCGACAGCAGGAGGGTCTCTCTCTCTGGGGACTGGCAACCAAGGGGGGAGAAATGAAGAAAAAGAGCTTTGCTTTATCTTCAATATTATTATCATTATTTTGTATTCATTAGCATTATCATTATTACTCATCATTATTGATTTTATAATCATTTTTTATATTATCACTTTTATTATCATTATTATTAATACCATTACAGTATTATCATTACTGTCATCATGCTTATCATTATTGATATTATTATAACAACCAGACGTTCCTCACAGAACTCCAGACTCCAGAAATTCTTCACACTGACAGAGACACACACACACACACACACACACACACACACACACACAAACACACACACACACACACACACAAAACACTGATAAATGTTTGGAATGTCTTTGAAAATGAAATAAGCCCCTTAATTATATAAGCAAGACAACACACATACTAGCGCACACGCACACGCATACGCATACGCACACACACCCACACACCACACACACACACGTGCGCACACACACACACACACAGGAATGTACGTCTCTATTAGTTCCTGTCAGGACGGGACTGAAGACGTGTTTGGGTGGACAGAATTCTTCTGGAGGACAAACAGTTTCTTGGTTAAAAAACATCACTTTAGAAAGTATGTATTTTAGACCCTGTTGTTTAATTGTTAATGTTAAAACATATTTGATCATCTTGGGGACAGAACATGTTGAACTAGTGACTCTTCCTGCTGTTTTACCTCCAGTCAAGGATTAAACACCAACGTTAACTATGTTAAAATATTTAGTTGCCTTAATCTAGACCACATTGATCGCATAGATGAATGCATTAATGTAGACAGCCATAGTATATGTGTATGTATAGTATATGTGTAGTATAGTATATGTGTATGTATAGTATATGTGTAGTATAGTATATGTGTAGTATAGTATATGTGTATGTATAGTATATGTGTATGTATAGTGTATGTATAGTATATGTGTAGTATAGTATATGTGTATGTCTAGTGTATGTGTATGTATAGTATATGAGTATGTATAGTGCATGCGTATGTATATGTAGGTCTACCGTGAACATATTGGGATGTATCTGCCTCGTGAATGTGTATACATCCTGGATGTGAATGTACCGCGAGCTCATTGTCTAGGATTCGAGTAAGAGAGTGCATCATTTGCTTTCCAGTTGCAGTTGAAATATGGCGTGTAATATTATTGGGACATTTT